TTAAATTAAATAATATATATATATAAATATATATAGGAAACCCTTTATTCTACATTCAACACCATCACTTGATAAGACACCAGAAGTGTTGAAACAAAATGGCTATTTTTGTAGTGATTTTATAACATTTTTATGTTATAATTTTGCGAATAAATTATATTTGCTCTACTTTGTATTGAGCACTGTTTTAAGAATAGTATTTTGGGGTTATTTGAATTCATTCCATCTACACCAATCATATATATATATATATATATATATATATATATATGTAGGAGAAAGAGGGGAGCAGTAGATAGATATTCTTCTCCCTCCATCTATGGGTAAATAACAGGACAGACTGGGTTCTATAGCCTTGGATGGCAACTGGTCTAGGAGAAGGACAACTCTGAAATCAAAACCTTTGTAGGGTCATTTGGGGACCTTGTGGCATGTAATGCACCAGCTCTCTGTATTCAGCCCTTCAAAAAGTGTGGTTGGTTCTGCACAAAACCTTCACCACTATAATCAAATCATATGTACTGCTGTCTGGCTGTTGGTTCCTACAAATTGAGCTGCTTCTCCCTTATACGTTGAGAGTCCACCATATATATGTTTTTATATATATAAAAGATTCAAACACTAATATTCTGTGATTATGATTTATTACATTGGAATCGGAAACACGATAATATAATTCATCAGAACATTTTTTCAATTTGTAGTTCTGATGAATTGGATCATGTTTACAATTCCAATGTAATAAATTAAAACCATGGAATATTAGTATTTCAGGTTTTTATATTATATTCTTGCTCTGTCCTGGACATTGAGCTCTAACTGGATTCTATTCTCTTGTAAATATATATATATATATTTATATATATGTTGACTGCTAATATTATCAATCTATCTATCTATATATATATATATATATATATGAAGGCCACTTCAGTGTGGTTTAATAGCAATCTTGTCTCGCTTGATCATTTGTGACAGAGTAGTGAATGTGATTGTCAGTGGGTGCTCCATACTTTCGATCTTGTGCCACATATAAGCTACACTTAGTAAATCACTATATAAGACTAATGTTTGTCAGTGTTGGAAGTTGGATTCGTTAGTGTCAAATTTGTGGCTGTTCGTTTAGCTAAACTTGGTAGTTTTGATTTCTTCATTCTGATACCTAGGGATCAATGACAACTTGTTCTGAATTCAATCAAGGTATTTTTTTAAGGTGCAGGTGATTCAAAAACAGTGCAAATATTTGTTGTCTTCATAAAGGTTTTGTGAATTCAAAAAAAAAAAAAAACAACACTGCAATTTGGAGGCGTAGTTCCTTTATTCTTACCAATATATACAAGTTCACGGTAAAAACTTGCTACACAAACAGGATTAAATCATTTTAGGTTTTTTTTTTTTCAAATAACCTCAACACAATAAGGATTCAATGCAAATAGACACCTACAAGGGTACTAACAAAAACTTTTTGGAATTGAAATTTTCCGGTTTTTTTTCTCCTTTTTATCTGATTTCAAATTATTCATTGAATTATCTGACAGTATGAAATTATAAAAAAAAAAAAAAAAAAAAAAGAAAAAAGCCAAAAACAACTATAATTTTTTTTAAGGGGCGCACAGGAGAAGTAAATATAATAATTTTTTTTTTTTTTTTCTTTAAGAATTTATTTTTTTAACTCATGTAATAAAATTTTTGAATTGATTTTTTTTTTTTTAAGCTTTTACATTATTTTTTTGTTTTTTTTACATTTTTCAAATTGGATTGGGATGGGGCTGGGGGTGAATGTTACCATGGAAACCTGGAATTGATTAAATGATTTTTTTTTTTTTTCTTTGCAAGAATATTATTATTATTTATTTATTTTTTGCCTTGGGATTATTTTTAGCCACCACTCTTGTCAAGGCTACTTTCTTCTGATAGAAACATTTTTTTTTTTTGATAGACTTGAGGAATAAAAAAAAAAGACAAGCACAAATGGGAAGCCAAAAATAAACACCCATTTAGAATTGGGGGTCTTCTTTTTTCTCTTTTTTGTCATTATTTTTGTTTTATTGAGTGCAAAAAAAAAAAAAAAAAAAAAAAAAAAGCAAAATGGCCAAGTAAAGAAACAAACATTGTACAGATACCAGTAGTATACGCATCAGCCAGGTCATTTTTTTTTTAATTTCCTATATTGGATCTATAATAATTTGGGAGAAATTTGAACAACCCCCAAGAAGATATTTCTTTTAGGTAGATATCATCTTTTATTTTTATAATAAAAAGAAGAATTATAGATGTATTAGCATATACCTAACATAACAATATTATGGCAAACATGGATCTTCATGCCCACAAAAAACAGTGTTTAAAAAGGACAGATTTTCCATTGACAGCATTAATATTTTAACTACATTCACTCCCTCAGCAATATTTATTTGTAAGAGTATAAAAAATTATGTACCTCTTATAAAGATTTTATTATTTACAATTTTATTAAGAAATAAACATGAAAAGAAATCTCTTTATTCAAAAATTTTAAAAGATTTTTTAAATTATCAAAACATGTAAATCATCTACAATGCAATATTTATTATTTACTATTTCATAAATACCTATGAAAACAATTTTTTTATTCATAATTTTATATCAATGAATTATAAAACAAAATTTGAATGAACATGATTTTCTAGACATAATACATTTTATATCTAAGATTACTTGTTTTAATTTTGAAATCCAAGGTCTGACACTCAAGAAATTATAAGTTAACCCATTTCCAACTGATTTTTGAAAAACATAATTTTGAAACAGCAAAACATTTCTTTTCACATTTATTTATTTATAAAACTGTAAATAGTAAATTATTATAAAAGGTAAATAAATTTTTTATAATCTTGTAAATAAACATTGCTGAAGGAGTGAATGTAGTTAAAATAATAGTGGTATCAATGTAAAATCCCTCACTTTGAAACACCGTTTTTTTGCAGGCCCATAAGTCAATGTGTGCTAATATTTTTTTTCTCTCTGGCTGAGGCTGTGTTTTTAAATTCAGTCTACATTTATCTTTTTACACTTTGTCAGTTCAGTAGTTGGGAGATTGGATAAGAAGTTAATATTCACACACCAAGGTACAATAACAAGAGACATTTAATCAAATTCAAAATGCACAGGCATTGAAAAGAAGGTCTCAGGTCAGTGAAAAAAAAACAAAAATGAAGAATAACCACACCTCTCTGCAAGGGAGGTAACTAATAAAAACAAAAATGGCCTCAACTGAGCGTTGTGTATCAACTACACAGCAAAATGATATCTTGTATGTATGCAATACGTAGGTATATATATAAGTTGATAATGTATGCATAAATATGTCAGACACACACCACTGTATATACATATGCATATTAATGTATACAAATAAAGATGTGCGAATGTTTTTGTATGTTTTTTTTTTTTCAGTAGAGCAAGTGTGATTCAGTAAAAAATAATGAAACTAATTTTAATCAATCTCTTATTAGCTGAAAATATCTTTTCTTTTTTTAATTTGAATGAGTTTTCTTCTTCATGAATGAAAAAAAAATAATTCTACTTACTAATATTTTTTTTTTTTTTTTTGTGAGTTGACATTTTGGGAATGTAACCTTGACCGAAGCATTGTAAATAGAATGTGAGGCAAAATGGGTTAGAGGAAAATGGTAGAAAAAAAAAAAAAAAAAAAAAAAAAAAATTATTTTTAACTGGTTTCATATTGCAAAAACCACTTTTCAACTTATCCAGCAACATTAATAATGTTTTCAGATAGAAAAAATTAAAAATAATTAATAAAAATACGGACAAATTTATTGATAATAAAAGCAAGAAAACAGCTTCAAAACTGTGTCTTCTGAATGACAAACTAACAAAATGTTCATGTCATTATATAGATCTCCCTTCCAAGATTCCAAGAATGAGATTTTGGTACAAGTTAATTATAGTGGTCTGTGATTGAATGTATGTGACAATATCACAGAAACATTTAAAGGATTTAATTTTAGTCTCACAGTCAGGCAACATTCCCCATCATTTTTGAACCCGTTATCTTTAGTGCCCTGCATTTAACTCTTCAAATTTCATTTTGTTTACTTTATTTAAAAAGTTAAACTGTTTGTCTCAATATTTATAATTTCTAATACTTTTTTGTTTGGTTGGTTATTTCAAGATCTGTTCTTCTATTCTACATTACTTTAAACAGCTCTGAACGCTGTTCATATCTTTTCTTTTCTGCAGTTTGCTGCTGATGTGAATATTCTGCATGTTTCCATGATATCACACATATTTCAGCATTGACCGCAAGACTTGTAGCAAGGTTTTTAACAGATGATGTTTGTAGTGATTGTCATTCACTGCTCTTTTTATAAAAATTTGTCTCTGTGAATTAAAAAAAAAAAAAAAGAAAAGAAAAAAATTAAATATATTTGCAATATGAGGCCAGATAAAGAAAATAACAAAATGTTTTCTCCTGATGATGTCAAATGTTTTCAAATTCTTTTATTAAAGAGCTAGACTTTGGTTTGGTTTCTTTAACAAAAAAAAAAAAAAAAAAAAATTCTGCCACATTCTGTCTTCTTTTTTTAATTCTTTGCAAAAATCTTAAAACTAGAGGGGAGGTAGGGGGTCTTCAACAATTCCTTCACATTTTTTTTTTTGTTTTAAATTTTTTTCCCCTCTCGGCTCACATTCAGTATCTTTACCACTTCATTTTTTTTTTAATTCTGCTGTTAGGACAACAAGAGTTGTCTCTCCCTGTTCTTGGAATAATAATCTTAAAGCGCCCCCTATGTGATCTTCACCCCTGCTACTTGCTGTGACCCCCTAAAACAAAGACAATCTCTCAATAGGATCTGATTAGTTTGTTCTGCACCTGCTGAGAAGTTAAACCAGAAAGCAGAAGGTCTATAGCAGAAAACCACTTGCTGAATAATTAAGATATATTGGTTTAAACCCTCCAAAGAAAAAATAGGTAGATTTCAACTGATAGCATTGCCTCAATAATAATAAGAAAAAGAAAGAGTAAGAGAAGAAAGTAATAGAAGAAGAAGAAAGAGAAGAAGAAAGAAAAAAGATAAAAGAGAGAAGAAAAGGAAGGAGAAGAAGAAAAAGAAGACAAAAAGAAGAAGAAAGAAAAAGAAAGAGAATGAAAAAAGAAAGAAGGCAAAGAAGAAGACAAAAAGAAAAAGAAGACAAAAAATGAGAAAGAAAAGGAGAAGAAAGAGAAGAAAAACTTCCTGCTGTTGTAATACAAGATTATATGATCCAGAGAAGAGATTTTCATATTAAAGTTGACACAAGGCTATTAAAGTTTGAGGGAAGACCCAGATTTGCTGGAATGGTTAGACAAAGAAGTTATGGAAGTGTGGCTTTATAATCTCAGCTTGGTCCGAGGAATGCCTTGTTCTTACTTGGCATCATCCTTCTAACTCAACGCTTTGTCTCCGACAGACAACCCGACTGATTGCCCTATACATCACTCAACTGAAGGAGTTGTTGTTATCATTCAAAAATTTCATCACAAGCCCAGATTGTGGAAAGTTTAAGTCAGGAAAAAAACAAAATACTTCATTTAAAGATTTTCTTCTTTTGTGCCACTACTGATTGATTGGTATAAGCGGCTGTAAGGTCAGGGTGAGAGAGTGGGGGAGCATAATACCCAGCATTTATAACTACGTCTTCACCGTATAAAACCACCCAGTGGTGGTAATGAAAATGGAAGTGGTAATATATACAGTTATACTACTCATGAGATGCTGATTTTACAAGTATGCAAACTAAATGACTGCAGTGGTCTCTGATGTGGGAGGGGGGTTAAAAAGACTTGCCCAAGGTCGTATTGGCTGCCCAGATATTTGTAAATATAAACCAGTCATAGTTGTGAATGTGTTGCTGGTTTAAGAAATAACAAATGTCATTATTATTATTATTATTACTGAACTCTATCATCCAACTTTTAAATAATCGAATAAAAGTACTGGATTGCTTTCTTGAGATAACAGAACTTGCATCAATAATGGTCGGAGACAAGAAAAAGAGTTCAAAATTGTTTTATGATGATGGAAATTAAATGCAAAAGTGAAAATTAGGTTCTTTTTTTTTTTTTTGATTGTTGTTTTTTAGGAGTGGAATACATATATATGTGATGTGTGTGTGTGTTTGAATTGGGATCAAACACGGATCAAATATGGATCGGAATCCAGCAGAATAAGATAAAGAACACAGAAAAAATGTTTATCAATCTAACGTTTCATTTTTATTCTCTGATGAAGCTTTAATAAAAGTGAAACGTAGACTGATAAGCGTTTTGTGTGTGTGTGTGTGTGTGTGTGTGAAAATTTCAGGTAGAGTATATCTATAAAAGTACAATATAAATAAAGACAAAAAACTTATCTTAGCTGATGCATTTTGTCCTTTGAGGGACTTTATCAAGGCTAATGTGCCCTGATAAAGTCCTTCAAAGGATGAAACACGTTGGTTAAGATAAGTTTTCATTTAGTCTTTATATATATATATATATTTATTTATTTTTTTTTTTTTTTTGATGGAGTGGGGTAATTTTTTTTCATGAGACACTGCATTGGAAGTGAATATTTATCTGTTGAAAATACCTAAATATTAAAATACCTAAGTATTAAAAATAGATTTGATCTAAAAGAATACAAAACACTTTATGAGACGTGTTAAGGATGCAATACACATGGAATATATGGGATTCAAATTTTTGCATGTTTGAGTGTTGTTTTAATAATAATAATAATGTTTTGAAAGAGGGAAAAGAGAAATAGAGAGAAGAGAAAGTAGTGGAGACTAATAAACACCAATGTCAGTATCATAGACTATTTGATTTGGCTCAAAAGGAGAAAAAGTAATTTTTAAAAAAGTAATAAAAAAAAAAAATGGAAGGAAGGAAGTATCCAAGAATTCTGGATAAAAAAGAATTCTGGGTAAAAATTGGTTACCCGAGATAAAAAGAGAGAAAAAGGATTCTGTCTAAAATTTTCATAAGAATCATTAATATCCCAAGATTTGTTCAGTCCATTGGACCCAATTTTGTGCTGCTGATGTTGTTGCCACAATTTGGCTGACCCATTCTACAGCCTTCCTCAACAATTTTGGTGTAGTTAATATAGCATCTGTTATGATTCATTCTAGCAATACAAAATGGTGATGTTACAATTCAAAACTGACTTATACAACCATTAGCCAACAAGCAGGTATCTGCTGCTCCTTCCAATTTACTAACTCTCCAGCTGCATTCTCTGACCCTCAACCTGGAGAAGGTAATGATTGCTCGCTTTATATATATATATATATATATATATTGTCAGTGTTTTGCATTGCTAAAATAAACTAAGCTACTATTTTCTGATTTTTGAAAGAAGCAAAAAAAATCCTGTCTCTTATAGATCAGTCAAAATTAATTCAGTAGTCCAAACAAATCTTGTATTTAATTTCAGGAAACATTTAGCTTGCTTACACTGTATGTAGTTTATTATCATATATATATATATGTATGTGTGTGTGTGTGTGTGTGTCAGTTTGAGTCTTGTTTTCCAGGATATCACATATTTTTTTTACATTAATTAATTTCAATATAAGCAGAATTATAAAAAACGCAAAGGCTCAGAATTTTAGTTTCCATTTTAAAAAAAAAAAAAAGAAAACAAAATAAAATTTTTTTGTCCTATTTTTCCCCATTTCGAAAAAAAAAAAAAAATTAAAAATTATGCCTGAATAAATTATTCCATGATGTCACACAAGGTTCAGTGATCTTTGTCTCACCACCCCACCTGATTTCCCAGTGCATTGCAACCAATGCCAGTTCCAATATTCAGTTCTTGTGCATAGATTTTAAATACTGTAGGCTAGCAGAAAAGTGTCCCTTCGCAGAAGCCCAGCAAGTCATGATTCTGCTTCACCAATTTTTAAATGATTGGCAAGTTGGTTGTTAAAAAACACAGGATTGCTTTTCCTGCCTACAGCGTGGCTCAGGTTAGAACTGGGGGTGGAGAATTTCCCCATTTGATAAGGTCTTTTTGGGTTTTTTTTTTTTGTTCATTCTTTCTCTCTCTTTAGTAATTTTAAAGCCAGATTAAGTGTTCTCTTTCCAGTCTCTCATTTTAAACTCTTTATCTGCAATGCTTTGTTTCAAGGCACATAACACTTCGAAATTTGAATCCAGCTTAAGTTTTTTTTTTTTTTGTTGTTTTTTTGTACTTTTTTTTTTTTTAAATAAAGCATTAACGGTTGACAAAGCTAAGTTTTTTTTTGTTTTGTTTTGCTTCCGGTACCTGAGCCAAAACCGAAATCTACCAATTAGCTCACAGGGAATTTATTAGGGTGGAGTTATAGCATTGACCAAAAGCTGGGATTGAATTACTGAATGTAAAATTTGACATGAGAAACAACAAAAAGCTATAAATTATAAAAGAAACAGGTGATATTGATGACTGATTAATATATATATATATATATATATATATATATATATATATATATTTATATATATTTTATATATATTGACAGATTTTCATGGCAGTGATCAAGAAAAATGAATGAAATTTTATTTTATTTTTTTTAAGTGGGGTGGCTTATTATTTTTTTAAATAAAAATGGTACCTGAACCATTAATTGGTATGAGGTGAGAACATGGGACAAAATCATGACTTGAACCTTTTTTGTTTTTTCTCTCGAGAATGTTCTCGCAGCATTGAAAAGACTAGAATAAGTGAGAAAAATATTCGAAAATAGGGGTTTCCTCCAAAGAGTAAAAATAAAGAAACAATTTTATATATATATATATATATATATAAAGTGAAGAAATATGCTTCTGCCTTCCCTGTTGTAATAAGAAACAAATGAATACCGAGTGATTGAATTTGTGTCATTCCATATAATAGTTTGCCGCTAATTCTTTCATTTAGTCTTTAATATATCTCCCCCCATAAATCAGGAAGAATATTCAACTGTTTCAAATGACAAATGCCAAGCCGAATTTAAAGGTTAATAACACAAACTCACGATAGATATATCACATGAATTTTTTTTTTTAAAGAATTTTCTTTTTTTTTTTTCAGCAAACAATATACAAGGTAAAAAAAAATGGGGTGCAGAATAGATTCACATGGGAGGTTTTATAGATATGGATAAGTACATATATATATATATATATATATATATAGGGCAGCAACTTTTCATTCATGGAGGTCTGGTTGAAAACCAACAAAATCTTTATTTTTTATTTTTTATTTTTTTTTCTCTATGGTTTAACCCATTTCTTCTGATTTCTGTTGAAAAATTTGAACAAACTATCCAGCATCTTCTGAGTTTTCTCAGCATAGCTTCTCTCACATAAGGTCTTATAAAATAGAAAAAATTCTCAGTAGTTACTGAAAATTTATATGCAAATTTTCCAAGGAAACCAGAAAAAAAATAGGAATAAAAAAATTAAAAATGGTCTAAAGCATTAAAAAATTAAGTTAAAAAATCTTAAAGCAAAAATTTTGTTGGTCTAAAAAACATATATATATATATATATATATATATATATATATATATATATATATATATATATATATATATATAAATAAAAGGTATGTTATCTTGAGATGTATGAGAATTGTATTTCTGTCCCAGTGGGGGCAGGGAGGGGGAATCCTGTTAAAGTATGTTTAAAAAACAAATTGCTGAATGAACCAAAAAAAAAAAAAAAAAAAAAAAAAGTGTTTTTCAAATAAGAAACAAAAATTCATTATAATGGTAGCAGCAGCAGCAGCAGCAGCAGCAACAACAATTAAAGGAATAATTAATGAGGGTGGATGGAGGTGGGGGAGGGTTGACCTCTGTGATTAAAAGTAGACATCGACACTTGGAAATTGTGCATACCTAGATGCATGCAATTTATTTTTTTTTTTTTTACTGTACCTGTAGTATATCTCAACACCACAGATTTTGCAAGTACATAAATGTACAGTCTGCAGTGGGAACATGGCAAGTATAAAAGGACTTGATGAACGACTGGGTGCCTCAGCACAAATTTGAACCTGAAATGATCCAGTCTCATCACCTACTATCTCTCTGCACATGTATGCATTTGGATAGGTATGAATTAAAGTAACTCAATTAATAGGTAAAATATAAAAAAAATTAAAAAAGAAGGAATTCTAACATTAAAAAGAGGCTTATCTTCAATTATTTGTTAAGTATTTAATTATCTATAAAATAATTTCAAAGATTT